CAGCGGAACCACAGCGTGAGCTGACGACATCGTTCCCAAAAGTTTCATGATAGAGACGGCCGTTACTACTCTGCTGGGTTTTACGCGGTGGAGCCGGTCCTTTAGGGCTTCGACTCTTGGCTGTGATAAGCGGGCTCTCATAGTGACTGAGTTTAGCTCCACTCCCAGATAAACGATCATCTGGGCCGGGAGAACCAAACTCTTCTCGCAGTTTATGGCGAAACCCAGGTTTAACAGGTGTGACATCAGAGCTTTGGTTTGCGCAGCTGCTTCCTGCCTGGATTGAGTTAGCAGCAGCAGATCGTCCAGATAGAAAAAAATTCTCATTCCTGCTCTGTGTAGCTGCTGCAGAGCCGTCTCCACACATTTTGAAAACGTGCGTGGGGTGAGGGAATAGCCAAACAGGAGCCTTTTGTACTGGTATTGGGTCCCTAAAATAGGCGTCTTTTAGATGTATGGAGGTAAACCAATCGTTCTGGTGAATGTTGTCCAACAGCTGTCTGGTTGTCACCATGTGGAACTGTCTCTCCATGATTGAATTGTTGAATACGGATAGGTCCAAAATGGGTCTCATCCCTCCGGTCCTCTTCGGAACCAGGAAGTAACGTGAGTAAAACCCTGTGTTTTCCTCTCCGTTGAGAACCCTGGAAATTACATTTTTTATCAGTAATTCCTGAACTTCTGAGTGGAAAGACGAGATTGTTCTGGAGATGACAGAACCGTCTCTATAATCTCTCTGAACGGTGGGGGTTGAGCTGCGAAATGCAGGGTGTAACCTCTGTTGATAAGACGATTCATCCAGCCATCCAGGGAACACACTCGCTGCCACTCTGTGTAATGCTCTGGGAGCGGGCACACATTTTTGTGTTGTGTCAGGTCCTTTACGGACGTCAACCAAGCTAGGGCCTCCACCACCGTTATATGCTCTGGAGATGCTCTTCGAGTGACCCATAGGGAGGCCTTGCCGAAAGGGCTCTGGGAACACCTCTGTGCTGCGCTCAGGCTGCGGGCTCACATCAGAGTTAATGTGAGCTGATGCACACTGAGGAGAGGCATGAGCACCTTTAGAAATTTGACGCCGTTTGGATGGAGATTGCAGTTGCCATGGGGAAATGCGTTTGTTCCCGCTGCGGTCAAAAGAATCAGAACACAACCTGGGCTGAGAGCAAGGTTTATTTTCTGGGCTCTGTCTGCTGCGAAGAATCATTTCTAGCTGCTGTGTCAAGCGAGCATTTTGTGTGATTTCTCGAGCTGCGGTGACTTTTAAAAACCTGTTTTGAGGTTACCGGCTTGTTTTGTGTGGAGGATGTGTGAAGTGAAACCGCTGTAAGATCATTCGATCTGACAGTCAGGCTGGAATCAGAAGACACTTTATTCTCTGAATGATGCTTTTGTTTTATTTTAAAACTCATATCATCATTTTGTATACACACATCCTCGGCAAGGAGTAATTTCTTGTATCTTCTCCCCCGTGAGCCCTGCGAGTGGTTGTTCCAGGGCGGCGACTGTTGGCGGTCTCTGGGGAAATGCTGAGTCGCTGGTTGCCGTGATGAGAAGGGCTGTTCTCTGGCGGGAGGGGGCGGCGGCGGAGCGGGGCGGGAGGACGCTGCTGCAGCTGTGGAATGTCTCTGCTGTTGCCTCTGGCCACGACGATCTCTCCAGCGGGCGAGGGGGCGGGAGGAGGAGTGCGGCTTCATTAGGCGGCGCACAGTCTCTGACACCTCCTCCGACTTCTTCGACTTTTCATGCATGGCCTTGAAATTGGCCCCGCACAGCGCGTCCGTCGTGATGGGGCCCTCCAGCAGGTCTTTCTGCAGTTTCTCCAGCAAGGAGGGGGAGTGTCGGAGCCAGGTGGAGCTCTGGATCATTGTCATCCAGGCGGTGATACGAGACAGGCAGACCACAGAGGAGGCGCACAGGTTAAGGATGATGTCAGACGCTTTGCAGAGCGAGCTCCTCATCTTCTCAGGTAGGTCTGTGTCCTCCAGCCTTTTGGAGATGCTGTAGGCCAGCAGGGTGGCATTGTTGTTCGCTGCGGGCGCCTGGAAAGCACACTGGTGGTCTCAAATGGAGAGCAACATCACTGTCTGGTTGTGTCTCCCTGGAGGGACAGGACATTGGTCCAACCTGGACACTTTTGCTCCGAGTGCTTCCAGCAGGCTTGGCTCTGGGGGGGTACCGAGGGAAAGTTCCGCTCAGTAAACCCCTTCACTCTAGTGATGGGAGCGAAGGTGGAGATGGGCGCCTTCAGCTTACCAGGTCCGGCTGCAGCCTCGTTCCAGTAGGACGTCACTGCTGGGAAATGAGGCCAGATGGGGTCAGGGTGGCGAGCCGGGGTGGAGCCAAACCTTCCCACTAAATCATCTGATCTGGGCGGGGGGAGGAGAGGGACAGAAAGTCCCTTCGTGTCAGCCGCCTCCTGGATTATGCCGGGTATCTCTGAGAGGAGGGCACCGACGGCTGGGAGCGGTGTGTTCGCCGATG